GAAGAAATAGAGTGTCTACTCGTGACATCTCTGGGCCTGAAGGTTTGAGAGAGATAAGCCGTTCTATAACTTGGCTACAAGACACAGGTATCTGACAGGAGCTGCGGGTCTTAATGGAAGATGAAGCAGCAGTCACAGGGAGGGAGTAAATATTCTGGACTCTCTCCTCCCTTCGATCTTTTGCCAATGCTTCCCAGACTGGCTGAAACCAAACAGACTCAGAGGGTGAAGGATGAGTGATGCAGTCCACAGAAGCCAGCCTCTCAGAGCAGGGTCAGGCAAGAAACTGGGTTTAACGAGTTGGAAGAGTACTCATCATGCAAACAAGCAGGATGTCTCAGTGTTGGAACAATCTTTAAAAACCTTGAACTAAAAGATAAAGGGAAAGGATCCAAACAGAGCTATGTCAGACCTGGGACAAAGAAAGACAGAGGAAGAGAATGATTAAAAAGTAAAATAGTGGGGTGGGGCACAGTGTGTGGCCTCATTATGTAAGATAAAGTACATAATAAAAATTACCTGGAGGTATGAGGAAAACACGTTTCCCTTCATCACCTCCCAGGAGGCTTGATTAGAGAAGCTGGCATGGGTCCTGAGTACTTTTGGATAAGTATTGCCTGGGCCTGTCTGTAGAATCAGGTTGAACTGCAACAGTGAGGTGAGTCCCAGCTTTCTTTGATCACTGTGAACAGCAAATTCAGTGTCAGCTGAGCCATTGAGGAGAAGCAGCTGTGTCCTGGCATTCTTTACAGGCATCCTGGTCAGTTCTGTGTCAATGTGACACTCTCAAATAGTTATTTGAGAAAAAGGAAGCTTGACTGAGAAAATGAACCCCAGCAGAATGGCTTGTAGTGCATTTTCTTGATTGATGACAGATGTAAGAAAGCCCAGCTCACTGTGGACAGTGTCACCCCCTGAGCTGGTGTTCTGTGTTTCATAAGAAAGCAGGCTAAGCCAGCCATGCAGAGCATGCCAGTAAGCAGCACCCCTTTATGGCCTCTGCAACAGTTCCTACCTCTAGATCTTTGCCCTGGCTTCCTTTAGTAGAATGCATTCTGAGGGTTGTAAGCTAGAATAAAACCTTTCTTTCGCTGTGGTGGTTTGAATAAAAATGCCCCCATATGCTCATATATTTGAATGCTTAATCACCAGAGAGTGGAACTATTTGAGAAGGATTAGGAGGTGTGGACTTTTGGAGGAGGTATGTCACTGAAAGTGTGTTTAAAGTTTAGAAAGCCAAGCAGGCCCCAGTGTTTCATCTTCTCTGCCTGCTGCCTGTGAATCAGCATGTAAGGCTCTCAGCTATTGCTCTAGAACCTTGTTTGCCTGCTTCCCATCATGATGATCATGGATTAATCTTCTGAAACTGTGAGCAAGCCCTCTGTTAAATGCTTTCTTTTGTAAAAAATGCCTTGGTTATCATGTCTCTTCACAGCAATAGAACAGTAACTAAGACATCATCCAAGTTATATCAGGGTGCTTTATCACAGCAGTAGAAATCCTAGCTAAGGCAAAGGCAAACGTGAAAACTGGTACTAAATGGAGAGGCGGCACTAACACAGGTGAATTCCATGAGACTACCTGACTGAAGTTTAATGAGGTCTAGAGAATTTAGTCATACTTCTAGAATACACTTGGAAAGTAATCTACTTTTTTATAGTATTTCTTGCTCAACATATAAAATTCTAGTGTTCAAAGCAGTTAACATTCCACTAACATGTGAGCAAAGGCACATACTGAAGGCATGTTCTATGATGTATCACAGTCACTCAAACAAGACATGAAGCATGTGAAATTCACATCAGTCTTCTTACCGCCATTATCTAAACTCTTGTTAATTTGAGACAGGGTTTCCTGTAGCCCAGGTTGGCCTGGGACTCAGTATATAGCCTAGGGTGACCTTGAACTCTGATTCTCCTTCCTCCACCTCCCAAGTTCTGGATTTGATTTAAATCTTAATAGCTACTTCTTTCATAGGTTTGTCCCAAAGATTTTCCCCAGTTCTTTCATTAAAATATAGCTATTAGACAAGAATCAACTTTAAAGCAGTAGTTTGTATTCTGAGACTTATTTTTGTTTGCTCTTTCTAGTATTGATTTTAAATATCCTCAATAACATTGTGGAACTATGAATAAAATTCAAGCATTTACTTTGTAAATTATTAGAGGCATTGTAAAAGATAAACTGTATTAAATTTGGCTTACCAGTATTTCCTGAGCACATTTTAAAAATAGAACTGAGCAGAAGTAATTATTTTGGGAAAATGGAAATGATAATGGAGAGATTAAGATCAAGATTAGCATGCACATGAATGGCAACTATTGTGTTTCACACACAACTCAACTGTTTCTAAGAACAAGATAAAGTAAGACACAATCTTCATTGTGGAGAACAGGTTCAGAAAACAGACAAAACTTATCTCAGAAATATTTAATAAATATCTACTAGGTGGTTAGGCAGGCAATTTGCTAGGTGTTGAGGCTACTGATAGAGCAGGCCAAGGGAAAGGTTTACTGTCTCCATATTTAATACCTTTCCCCCCCATACACACTAAATCACTAACCAGAGAAGAAACAAAGTATCCTGTGCTGCTTGTTTTCCTGTGCCTATGACTCTTAGCTGAAGAACAAAGAAGGGCTTACAAGCCAGAAAAACAGCTCTCAAGTTTAAGGGAAGGTAAAACATGCAGTACACTGTTTTTTTTCTTTTAGGGTGGAAACAAGGTGAGTGTAAAAAAAAAGTGGAAAGTACACAACTTCTGGTAAAAGACAAAAGTTTATGATCTGATTTAGAGCAGCTAAGGCCTGGCCATGGCTCACTCTCATGATCTCTGCTACTCAGGATGCTAAGGCAGGGGCCTCCCAAGCTCAATGGCTCAGCCACAGGTGATCCAAGGCCACAAACCCAAGGGTACCATTTTGACGCACAGGTATTTCGGGTAACATGGTACTGAGGAAAAGAAACACTCACTTTTTTTTACAAGGACCAAGAAAACTTCTCTTTTTGCCACAAGTACAGACCTGATGTGCAAAGAACATTATTCAGACACAATAAATGTACAGTTAACTTCAGTTTAATGACTCTTAACACTAGGGGTTGGAGGGTGTTTTTTGGGAGCAGACAGGGTCTCACTATACAGCCAGATTTGGTCTGAGACTTGTGACCTTCACTGCTCCACCTCCCATAAGCATAGACTGCTGGTGTATCTCACCATGACTAGTCACACAATAAATATTCTGCCTCAGGCACGGCAAAATCTGTTGAAAGAAATTTACCAGGCAACTTTCATGCATCAGCACTGTGCTGGTTTAGTGTATTATTCCTTATACTCTAAGGCATGTTTCAGGTGCTTCTATTCATAACTCTCACATTTATACATTATCATTTAATAATTGCTTATCTGAATTAATGGCTTAGGTTAATTACCTCAAAAAAGTTGTCCCTTAACAACTCCTCCTTTAAAAGGGGTGGGAAGCAGGGAGAGAAAGTTAAATTTAAAGTCTAATTACTGAAGACAAGTATCAAGGCATTTTGGGTTTTGTACAAAGTCAAGGACTTCAGGTAAAAATCAGCCTCAGGGAACACTAGCCAGCTTTGCTTTTAGCCTCGAGGTCATTAACGACTCAGATATGTGCGAAACTGAGGTTATTTTGAATCAGAGCTCCACTGCAGTACAGGCTCGCTTGAACACTTGGCCACCCTCCTGTCTCATGTCTTGCCTCCTTCTGTGTCCAGTTGAAGTTCAACACAATTGCTGTCACTTCCTGTCCGGGTAGGCTGGGGAAACCTGAGCATCTGTGGGAGGGGAGGTAGTTCGACAGAATGGCCAGGCTGTCCATGTCCCCAGCGTGCACGCGCGGGTCACTGCACCTAGAGCTGTAGGGCACAGGATCCAAGGAGTGCTCACCCGTCCACGGGGGTCTGCGCGGGTGTGGCCCATGCTGCCAGCTCCAACTAGTCCTGGTCCAGCAGGCCACCCTGTCACCTCCTGGCCCTGTACCCAGGGTGTCAGCACCCTCCTCTGTCACCCCACCACACCTAAGCAAAACTTTTCGCTCACCTCCCCAATTCAAACTCCACTGCTGTGTCCAAGCTGTCACAAACCACTCTGGCCCTAGCAACAAGGTTAGGTCATAGATCAAGCGCTGCTAGGTGTTAGGAAGGTGAAGTCATAAAGCTGCAAGTGTAGTAAACCAGGTGCGGTGGCGAAGGGGAGGGGTGGAGGAGGCACGTGGGGGAATGTCCCGCGCTACCGTCTCGCCAGCAAGAACGACACAGGACCCTCGGATACTTCTGCAGTAAAGCTTTAATACATCTTGAGAGATAGATGATCAGCTTCTGAGAGGGAGACCCCAAGCTAAGAAACCCAGCCCCTTATATAAGCCTAGGAGCTCCGAGTGAGATGTGTAGAGCTGGGATTGGTGGTTTGCTCATCACCCCAGATAACGGGTGAGGCACAGCTTAAATGGTAAACTCCAACTGACAGCAGATGTCAGCGCCATCTTCTAATGGCGATAGCGATAGTGAGGGCAGCTCCTCACATCTCCCCCTATTCATTTATTTTTGAAGCCATAGGACACTCACAACTTTGGAGTGGAGATAGAGGTCAAATCCCCATGTGCAAATTTGGAACATGTACAAAGCTCCTCTCCAGGGTCTTATCCCCAGAGGGAGCCCTGACCAGTCCCGATGTCGTTTTTCTGGGGGAAGGAGATCATGACATAGAACCTTCATGCAAGATGACTTATCTCCCAGGAGAAAGTCGTTATACCGCAGACCTCTCCTGTGCAGTGCTTAGCCTTGCAACTCCTTGGGCTGCTGAAGCCTACCCACTCTATCCCGTGCAATGAGACTAGCCTCGTGGGGTGCAAGAGCCGGGAGGCCAGCGACCTATTGCTTTAACATGGTTAACCAAATGTCAGGGGAGGCTCCGTGTTCTAAGGCAGCAAGTGCTTGTGCCACCATCACTTTGTCTCTTTTGTTTGGGCTCTGAGCTTACACACCATCCAAAGCATCAACACTATTCCACAGCAGAGAACTAGGCTAAATGATCCCACCCCCACCCATTCCTTAAAATAAGAAAATGCAGATGAAATCCAGGAGGAGAGGCCTTCCATCAGAGAAAGATCCAGACGCGTCGAATTCACTTGCAGGATCGCCACTCTCAACTCACGGAGTGTCTGCTCAAACTCAAAAGTCCAATTCTGTAATAAATGTTGAGACAGAGCTTTTGACAGGTTAGCTGCTCTTGTAAAATTCTCATATTGTACTGAAGTGACACAAAGGCCAGGCAACTTTTGTTCACATCCCAATTGGGCCATCTGCCACAATATATCCAATTGTTCCTGAACCAAATTAATCTGTTGGTTTACCAACATCAGGCCTCCTTGTATCTGAGAATTGGCAGTGGCCTGTTTATCTAGGGCCATGGTCACAGTGGCTGATAGTTCATTAATGGTTTGAGTTGTCTGCACAGTGGCGGAAAGTGCAAGGGCCGAGGCGGTAACCGAAGCAGTAACCGCGGCGGCAGCTATCAGGCCCACAATAATAGCAGAGATCCCAAAAATCTCGCTTTTCCCTAAACAAACTCAAACTACTTGGCACCTCAACAGGAACTGGAACAAATCGAGGCATGCGCATTACCAAAGCAAAAGGGTGCTTAATAGCATCCCAGCATAATGCATAAAAACAATTCTAAGCAGAGCAATTTATTTCTTTCTGATTCTTACCTAAGGTATCATTACTCACAACCCAAATAAAGGGCAGCCAAACACAAATTGGAGCAGCTGAATAATTAGTTCTCTTAAAAGGGGTATACTTAACATTGGAGGAGGACCAATCAGATGATCCAGAGCTCTGTCCCTCACTCAGACTGTTGCCTAATGCCCCTTTCCAATCAAAAGTAATCTGTCCCTTCTCACTATATCCTCCAGCAATCATTGCCATAGGAGAAAGATCAGTACAGCTTCCATTAATTCAAAAGGATTAGCATTAGATCTTTCTGGATCCATATGAATAAAATTATCCTTTAATGAAGAAATCACAGTAAAGCACAAGCTTCCTACCAATGACAAGGTTCTCTCATCCTGAAAACTCTGTATCTGAGGATCTAAAGGCAAAAAGGCAAGCCCCAACTCTCTATTAGTTGTGAAAAATCTAGGGAACTCCTGGGCATTATGCATCACTGGCATCGGTAGGGGGAAGGTAGACATGATGGCCCACCGTAACTCTCCCATCATACTAGGAACCATCATCCCGAGTAGGAGAGTCTTCATCACCCACTTGGCCTCCATCCTTCTTATTCTGGAGTTGTGAAGGAGCTCTTCGAGTGAGTCTTTCAGGGATCCACAGGGGGTTTTCTTCCTCCTGTGGAAAAACACACACAGCTCCCCTGGATCTTATTAGAATAGGATCCGGGCCTTTCCATTCATTAGTTAGCACATCTTTCCATTTTACAAATTCTTTTGGCCTATCAGGCTCTAAACTGTGGCGATCGGCCGCAGTGTGGCCTTGGGCATCAGAGTTCAAGAAATTAAGGGTAAAAAGTGCCATGGACACAGCAACTCTTGGTACCGAGGGTAGAACATCCTCAATACTCCCCTTTTGTTTAATCAGATATGATTTGAGTGTACGATGGGCACGTTCCACAATGCCCTGTCCTTGAGGGTTATAAGGTAGGCCAGTTAGATGGGTAACATCCATTTGCCGACAAAACTGTCGGAATTTTTGAGAGGTATATGCTGGTCCATTGTCTGTTTTTAAAATTCTGGGTTTTCCCCAAGCACTCCAGGCCTCAAGGCAATGTTGAATCACATATGAGGCCTTTTCCCCTGTTAGGGGTGTGGCAAACATTACGCCAGAACAGGTGTCAACAGAAACATGAACATATTGAAGCCTTCCAAAAGAGGGAATATGAGTAACATCCATCTGCCACATCTGCAATGGTCTAATGCCACGTGGGTTTATTCCCACGTGGGGAGCAGGTAAGAATTCGCAGCAATTCTGGCATTGAGTAACAATTTCCCTAGCCTCTTTCCTGGATAGAGCAAAACGACGGCGCAAGGTCTCAGCCGTCACATGAAAGCGCTGATGGAATTCTTTTGCTGCTTGTGCGTGGGTAGACAAGGCAGCGGCCACCAGCTTTGTAGCCTTGTCCGCTAAGTCATTCCCTAAGGACATGGGACCTGGGAGTCCAGAATGTGCTCGGACATGGGTAATGAAAACAGGAAATCTCCTATTTAACAAGGCAGCTTGTATCTTCTGAAAGATGTTAGCAACTCTGCTGGAGGATCTTATTATTCCAGCTATCTCAAGGAGATTAACTGCATTAACCACATAAGAGGAATCTGATACAATATTGAGGGGTCCTGGAAAAGCCTCAAGAACCTCCAGTACTATCAGACATTCTACAACTTGAGGTGAAGTTTCATTATATTGTTTAGATATAACCCTATCCTTGACCACATAAGCTCCCATACCAGTTTTCGATCCATCAGTGTACACCACAGTCCCATCTGGGAGTGGGTCTTTAGCTGTCACTTGTGGAAACACTATAGCCTGGTTTAGGGCAAACTGTAAAATTGGATGCTTTGGAAAATGATTATCAATTTGTCCTGAAAAGGAAGTAACTAAAACTGCCCAATCACTAGATGTGGCTGCCAAGGTCTGAACTTGTGCAGCAGTATAAGGCACAATCAAGGAATCAGGATCCCTGCCAAAATGCGTAACAGCTGCTTTTATTCCGCGAAGCGCGAGCTGTGCAACAGCATCAGGGTACCAGTCAATAATCTTAGCAGGGGAAGCATTTGGATGAATCCAAAGTAATGGTCCATGTTGCCACAGGACTGCAGTTGGCAATTGAGCTGTCTTAAAAACACACAGATTAAAAGGTAGTGACTCCTCAATACGTTGTAATTGTGCTTCCTGTAAGGCCTCTTCCACCATCTGTAAGGCTCGGTGGGCAGCAGGGGTAAATTTTCTGGGTGAGGAGATATGAGGCTCACCCTCCAGGAGATCGAAGAGGGGTTTTAGATCAGCAGATGGAATTTTTAAAAAGGGCCTCAACCAATTTATATCTCCCAGAAGTTTCTGAAAATCATTTAATGTTTGTAAGTGGTCTTTGCGAATTTCTATTTTCTGAGGAACTATATTTTTGGGAGTAATCATTGAGCCCAAAAAGAGGCCTGTATCTGCAATTTGAACCTTTTCTGAGGCAATCTCTAATCCCCACTGTTTTAATTCAGCCACCAGCATGGGAAAAGCCTTTTGTAAAACATCTAACTCTTTGTGACAAATAAGAATATCGTCCATATAATGGATCATGATTAAAGATGTAAATTGCTTCCTAATTGGCTCCAAAGCCTCCTGCACATACAGCTGACATATTGTTGGGCTATTGGCCATGCCTTGCGGCAGTACCTTCCACTGAAATCTCTTGTCTGGTTCCATATGATTAAGAGAAGGGATAGTGAAGGCAAACCTTGGTCTATCCCGTGGGTAAAGTGGAATAGAGAAGAAACAATCCTTAATATCTATAATAATAAGCTTCCAATCTTGAGGGAGTGCAGAAAGCAAAGGAAGTCCTCTTTGAACAGGGCCAAAAAGATGCATCTGATTGTTAATGGCCCGCAGGTCATGGAGTAATCTCCACTTCCCAGATTTCTTCTTAATAACAAAAATTGGTGTATTCCATGGGGAGGTAGAAGGCTCTAGATGCCCCAGCCGTTCCTGTTCTTGCACTAATCTTGTGACAGCCTCTAATTTTTCAGAGGATAGAGGCCATTGAGAGACCCATAACGGCTCCTCTGTTTTCCACGGTATGGGTCGTGAAGCCTCAACGGCCCCTAAATAAAACCCAGTCCTTTTCTACCCCGATTTCCATGTTGTGTAATGGGTTTTATTCTGCCTTGTTCTTGCCTACCCAAGCCTCTACCCTTTGTATACCCCATCTTTGCCATAATGGCTGATGCCTGGGGGAGTATTCATTAGTTAGGGTCATGCCCATGGCTTGTAACACATCCCGTCCCCATAAATTTACAGGGAGTGGCAACACATAGGGGGTAAAACATCCCTGTTTGCCCTCAGCGTTCCGCCAGGTTAAGGCTGAGGCACTGATGGCAGGAGAGGACTGGTATCCAAGACCTTGTAGAGAATGAGATGAAACAACAGTGGGCCAAGACTTCGGCCACCAATGGAGTGAAATAATGCTTTTGTCTGCTCCCGTATCCATTA